CCTCACCTCTCCCGCGGGGTGGCGGCTGAGGCACCTCCTGAGTCCCAGTGAGGCTGGTCACAGTTGCAATAGAACTCAAGGGACAAGCCATAGAATCCTTAAGTGGGACACAGGTCATTTCCTGTAGCCCCCTGCCCCCCTCCCTCAGTCTGGCCTGTATGATGAAGCTCTATCTAGACTTTAAGGGAAAGGCATATCATGGGTTTCATGGGCTCTCTCCCAAACTCTATTAGGTTGGACCACATGATATTGCTAATTTTTAATTATTTTTGACCTACAAAAATGGCATTTTCATATGGTCCAACCTAATTTTTGAAAGGGTCACACTGATCCAGTGGAATTTGCTGGAAATTTCTGTCCTCCGAGTTCTTGGTCCCCCAGCTGACTTCTTGGCAAAGTGCTGTCCAGGGCCACTCTGGGGGGAGTAGCTGCGTCCCAGTCCATCAGGAAGCCTCCCCCACTGTGTGGCGGTGGGGAGGTCGAAAGCCATGGGACTCTGAGCAAGTCACCTGACTCCCTGTGCCTCAGTGTGCCCATCTGTACTTCCTCCCCGGGTTTTTATACAATGAAACAAACTGATGTAGGCAAAGTCTCCAGCGCCAGGCCAGGCACCGGGTGCTGGGTGGGTTTGTGTGGACCACTGGAGTCACCGAGAACCGTGTTCAGCTCAGAACTCAGAGCCTCCGTGAAGTCACATGGGCAGAGCTGAGCACTTCAGCGTCGACCACCCCTGCCCCAGCTCCAGTGCTGGATGAGGCCCTTGGCTGCCTGGAGCCATTGCTGCCTTCCTCCGTGTCCACTTTAGCTTCTATCCCTCCGTCCACTTGGCCTGCTCTGTCCCTTCTGCCTGAGGGTCGCTTTGCCAGAGGCCCCACAAATGAATTTGAGCCTACTGCTTGGGGGCTCTGGGTTAGGGAAATTGTTGCCCTTTGTTCTAATCCTATCCGTTAAAGACAGACACCTGCCAGTGAGCCACCTGCCCCTCTCCAAAACCCACTCCTCCTAACACATGCACTTCCCTGTCCACGCCATACCTGCCCCTACTCCTATGACATACCCACTCTTGTATACCACTTCCCCATACCCTCACATCTTCATGGGAGGTTCCCCCCATAACACCCCACCTCTGATTCTTCCTTGGACCCCTGGAAGTGGTCCCACCACTTTCAGCTGCCCTGGAAACTAACCCAGGCAGAATGGAGCAGAGCCATCCCTGACCTCTAAGAAAACAAAGATGATGGTGATGTTTCCCCTGATCAGCCCCTCTGTGTCTTAACCAGCGTCCCCAAGAGCTAGGGGCATTGGACATGAACTTTCTTGGTGCCGCGTGTTATGAAAGAAGAAAGAGAATTTAGATAACTTGCGAAAAATTGCAGAGTTTGAAGCCATGGATTAGGCAGACGCTGAGCCCCTCCTGCTCTGAGGCTCGGAGGGTCCTCTGAACGCTGGACCTTGAGCAGCTTGCTTAACTCCTAAGGTGGGAGGCAGCTGCGGTTCCAAGTGAGGACAGAGCCAGCCATGAGGCCACGTCTCAGAAAAGCCAGGTGAGTTCTGCAGAGACCAGAGCTTCCTGCTCCCTAAACTCAAGGGATTTTACCCAGAATTTCCCAGAGCTCCCCCAATCCCAGCTTCCCTCAAACTCTCCTGAGATGGCACACAACGGCTGCCCCTCCTTTGCAGCTGTGCCAACCCTCTAGAGAGGGGCCAGTCGGGGAGTGGGTCCGGCAGCGCTGGACTCCCAGGCCAGACTCTGCTGTGAGGTGGGAGATTCTGAGAGTGAGACTGCCCTGTTATTTCAAGGAATGCAAAAATAATTCCAGACAGGTTAACAGGGTACAGAAGCTCCTCGACTTCCGATGGGGTCATGGCCTCCTAACCTACCGAACACCGTTGCTTAGCAACAGTACACTGTAGTGCACCTGTCGGCTGTTTCCTCTGGGATCACGATGGTGGGACTGAGCGCTGCCGCGCTCTCCTGCTGCACGCTGCTAGTGTGTAGTGTCCACTCCGTGGATGACCTTCCCACTCTCATCAAGCTGAGAAATCGTCAAGTCGGGGAGAGCATTCCCAGCGAGCCCATCTGGGAGGAACACGGGGGTGCTCAGGAGACTTTGCCAGTTTCCTTCTTTCCTCCGCTCAGCTGAAATTGCCCCCGGGTACGCTGCTCTGGCACATCCCATTTCCTCTGCGCTTGTCAGAACTAGGGACTGGGAGGAGAAGGAGGAGATTTCTCTTCTCTTACTCTACACTCGAGGAAGGCAAGGCCCTGACGATGCCAATGAAACCCAGCTCCTGGCCTTGCGTTCCTGGCTCTAGGGGCTAAACAGCCACTTTGCCTCCCAACCAAGTGCTTGGCATCTGCTTTGCTTCCATGGATACTTTCACTACACCTATTCTACAGATGAGAAAAGTTGAGGCCAGCCAGTGGCCCAGCTGAAAAGTTTCAGAGTGGCCTGGGTCCCATGTAGCCCTGCCAGGTGCTGATTCCACAAGTGTTCTTCCCACGGGACCCACTGCCTGGAGGGGTAGGCAGACCCGCTCTGTTAACTGGCTCTGTCCATGCTGTTTGTGTGAGTGCCACTCCCAAGGGGGAGGGTCCCTCACACTGGGACCTCCTGCTTTCTGGGCAGAAGCCGGAGCCCTGGTCCCTGTGTTTGCAGCCTCAGTGCCCCGGGTCCATGTCCTGGCGCTGCCGTATATTTGCAGGTGACCTGGATTCCTTAATGCCCCTAGCGTTTTCTCTCACGGGACGCAGGAACCGCCCAGCCCTGGATTTCAGGACTGCGCAAACGTGGGAAAGAAGAAAGCTCAGCGGCTGCGCTTGGGCAGGTGCCATGGTGGTCAAGGGAACAGAGGGCGGTGGCCCGGCGGCCTTCCCTGGGACGCCCTGGTTGTGGAGGAGCCCTTGGAGGCCCCGAGTTGTCCCTGTGGATGAGGAGGCTGGTCTGACCAGCGCCGTGGGCCGGCTGTGAGAAGTGAGAGCATCCCCTGCTCCTCCGAGGCCTGCCCGAGCCCCCACCCTGGTCTGATAGCCTGCACCCGGGAGGGCGGAAATGGGCCGGAGGGGGCGGGCGATAGAGCAGGCCCCCCAGGGCGGGACCCCACCTCCTGGGGGTCACGTCATCCATTCTCTGCCACCCGGCACAATTGCACGGAGCCATCCATCACGGCTGCCTGCCTGGCTTTTTTCTGCTCCAAGTGCATTAACGCATTTTCATTCTAAAAGACTCAGAGTAATGTGCTGGGTGGGCGCCCCACCCACCTCTGCCCCATTAGCCCCTGTTCCCTCCCCAGAGTCAGGCCCAGCACTCTTAGGTGGGTCCAATGGGGTCCCTTTGTCACACATCGAGGTAGGCAAGCATGTATGTAACAAACAGCGGTGTGTGTGTGTATGTGTGATCACGTGGTTTTCTCCCACCTGCCGTGCCATGGCCGTGTTTCCATATGGGTCCCTACTGAGGGGCCCATCGTTCAACGCCAGGACAGTCTGTAAGGCAAATGTGCCCTGGTTTCCTTACACCTCCCCCGGTTGGGTACTGCATGGTTGTTGCTGTTGCGATGGTGAACACGCCGCCAGGGAGGGTACTGGAGTTTTTCTACAGAGCTCAGGAGATATTTTGCTGGAGGCTCATTTTCTCGGCGTGCGGCAGCGCCATCCACACTGTATACGTAGCCAAAATGTGCAGTGCTGCGCCCCAGATGCTTCCCCAAAAGGCTCTGTCCCACGGTGTGCCCCTCAGCCTTTAGCTCAGTAACTGTGTTTCCAAAAGCTACACTGATAGTATCGCATGGTGGTGGTTTTGCCATTCATTGTTACCATCTCATGGCAACAACATTGCTCGCTCTTATTTAATCTGTGTTTTCCCTTGGGCTGGTGTGGTGGCTTGCCTTTTGCTGCATTTCTTAGTGGTCTGTAGTTCCCTTTCTGGGCAGTGCCCATTCTTAGCATTCGTCCATTTGTCTTTGGGCTGCTTAAGAACAGGAAGCACTCCTGAGTTTTCCTTGCAGTAATCCTTTGTTGTTGTTGTTGTTGTTGTTGACAGGCAGAGTGCATAGTGAGAGAGAGACAGAGAGAAAGGTCTTCCTTTTGCCGTTGGTTCACCCTCCAATGGCCGCCACGGCTGGCGCGCTGCGGCTGGCGCACAGCGCTGATCCGAAGCCAGGAGCCAGGTGCTTCTCCTGGTCTCCCATGGGGTGCAGGGCCCAAGCACTTGGGCCATCCTCCACTGCACTCCCAGGCCACAGCAGAGAGCTGGCCTGGAAGAGGGGCAACCGGGACAGGATCCGGCGCCTCGACTGGGACTAGAACCCAGTGTGCTGGCACCGCTAGGTGGAGGATTAGCCTATTGAGCCACGGTGCTGGCCGCAGTAATCCTTTGTCATACGGGCACTGCAAGTATTTTCTTGACGTCTATCACTGACTTTCAGCTTTGTGAGGTTCCCCTCTGCAGGCCTAGCAGCTGTCCCCTGCTATGCTTCTGGACCCTGTCGAGTCCACCGTCCTCCCACCGAAATCCTGCGCATGTCTAACCAGTGCTCTCTCTTGCATGCCCGTCTTGTGCCAGGTAATGCAGCGCGGAGGCCTGCCGAGGCACTGTCTTGTCCGTTGCAGGCAAGGGCTCTGATTAGTGATGCACTCGACAAATGAGCGCAATCTCAGGGAGCTGATGGCCTCACAGAAGGCCGCTGAGGAGGACCTGAGCCCCGCTCTGCAGTTCTAGCTGCTGCTGCTCCTCCTCCTTCCTCCCCTTCCTCCTCTTCCTCTTTCCTGTTTCCCATCTCCTCCTATTTCTCCTTCCCCTTCTCCTTGTACAGAGTTTCCTTTCATCCTTTTTGAGAGGGAGGGAGGGAGAGAGAGAGAGAGAGAGAGAGAGAGAGGCTCATTCTCTAAATGCCCATAATGGTGGGGGCAGGGTGGTGGTGCCTGAAGCCGGGAGCTAATTCCACCTAGGTCTTCCATGCAGGTGGCAGAAATCCAACTACTTGATGTTTCCTAGCAGGTCCTCATCAGAAGGAAGATGGAGTCGGGAGCCAAAGTGGGGATTGAACCCAGGAATTCTGCTGTGGGAGCATGGGAGTCCCAATGGACATCTTAACTGCTGGGCCAAATACCTCCTCCCTTTTAAAAATATTTTCCTTTCTTAAAAAAATGTTTGGTGAACATGTAATGTTTGCATATTTTTATGGGCATGGTGCAATATTTCAATACATACGCACAGCATAAACCAATAAAAGGATTGCCTTATCTTTTCTTTGTGTTTGGAGTCTGCCAGTTCTTCACATAGTATGTAATATGTTTTTGAGAACTCTGCTCACATCACTGTCCTGTGGAACATAGAACTTGTGACTACCCACTATGTTTTGTTCCCTGTAAGTCAATTCCCCTCTATCCTTGTTCCTTCTTCCTTGACAGCCTTTGCCAGTCACTATTCTAAGTTCAGATCAGCTATTTTTTGTAGCTTCTACATTTGAGAGAGTATGTGGCATTTGTCTTTCTGGACCTGGTTTATTTCATTTAGCATAATGAGCTCCTGTTCCAGCCATTTTGCTGCAAATGGCAGGATTCCACTCTTTCTATGGCTGAGTAATATTCCAGCACGTGTGTGGAATCCCATTTTCTTTACTCACTCATCCATTGAGCTGGACTTGGAGATTGATTCTGTATCTTGGCTGTGAATCCTGCTGCAGTGAACCCACGAGTACAGGTTTCTCTTTTATTTGGTGATTTCATTTCCTTTGGAAGTGGGATAGCCGGGTTATATGGCAGATCCATTTTCAGTTTTTTGAGAAACCTCCCTACTGGTCTCCTTAATGGTTCTTTCACTTGCATTCCCCCCAACAGTGCATACGGATTCCCTTTCTCTACATTCTCACCAGCATTTGTTATTATTTTTGTCTTTTTGATAACAGCCATTCTCATTGGAGAGATACCTCGTTGTGGTTTTGATTTGCATTTCCCTGATTGTCAGTACTACTTAATATTTTTTCATGTGTTTGCTGGTCATTTGAATTTCTTCCTTTGAGAAGTGACTATTCAGAGCTTTTGCTTTTGAACAGGATATTTTGCTGTTGAATTTTTAGTTCCTTTTATAGTCTAGATACTAATGTTTTGTCAGCTGAATGGTTTGCGAAGAATCTTCCCATTCTGTAAGGTCGTCTCTTCCCACTGCTGTTTCCTTTGCTGTGCAGAAGCTTCTTAGTTTGATACAATCACACTTGACTGATTGTGTTTTGTTGCCTGTATTTTCGGGGCCTTATCCAAAAAACGTTGTGTATGAGAATGTCTGAAAGTATTTCTTCTATGTTTTATTCTAATATTCTCATAATTTCAGATCTCACATTTAGATCTTTGATTCATTTTGAGTTAGTTTTGAATAGGAAGTGGTGGTGAGGGGGCAGGAAGCAAGCTTCAGTCTCCAGCGTGTGACTCTCCGGTGTTCCCAGCCACCTATGGAGGAGACTGCCCTTTCTCTAGGGTGTGTTTTGACACCTTTGTCAAGAATCAGTTGGCTGTAGAGGCATGGGCGCAGGTCTGTTCCATTGATCTGTGTGTCTGGACCACACCATAGGTTGCAATAGCTCTGTAGTATATCTTGAAATCAGGTACTGTGATGCCTCCAACTTGTTCTTTTTGTCCAAGATGGTTTTTACTATTCAGGGTTTTGTGCTTCTGTATGAATTTTAGGTTTTTTTTTCTAGTTCTGTGAAGACTCTTGGAGGTATTTTGATGGGGATTGTGTCAAATCTTTACATTGCTTTGGGTAGTAAGGATATTTTAATAATACTAATTCTTCCAACCCCTGAACATGGGAGATTGTTCCCTTTTTCCTGCTTGTGTGTGTGCCTTCTTCCCGTTCTTCCACTAGCATTTAGTAATTTTCATTGTAGAGGTCTCTCATAGATTTGGTTAGATTTATTCCAAGGTGTTTGGTGGCTATTGTGGATAGGATTTCTCTTATAATTTCTTTCTCAGTGAGTTCACTTTTGATGAATAAAAATGATACTGATTTTTTGTGTTGGTTTTGTATCCTGCAACTTCACTGAAGTAGTTTGTTAGTTCTCATAGTTTCGTGGAGTCTTCAGAGTTCTTTCTACAGAATCATGTCATCTGCAAGTGGGAATAATTTGACTTCCTTCTTTCCTACTTATATATCTTGTATTTCTTTCTCTCACCTGGTTGCTGTGGCTAAAGCTTCCAGCACTACGCTGAATAACAGCAGTGAGAGTGGACATCCTTATCTAGTTCCAGATCTTGGAGGAAATGCTTCCAGCTTTCCCTCATTCGGTACAGAATGGCTGTGGGTTTGTCATATATAGCTTTCATTGCATTGAGGTATGTTCTTTCTTTCTTTCTTTCTTTCTTTCTTTCTTTCTTTCTTTCTTTCTTTCTTTCTTTCAGATTTACTTATTTATTTCAAAGTCAGAATTACAGAGAGGTGGAGGGAGGGAAGGGGAGAGAGAGAGAGAGAGAGAGAGGTCTTCTGTCCTCTGGTTCACTCCCCAAATGGTTGCAATGGCCAGAGCTGTGCTGATCTGAAGCCAGGAGCCAGGAGCTTCTTCCAGGTCTCCCACGTGGGTACAGGGGCCCAAGGACCTGGGCCATCTCCTACTGCTATCCCAGGCCATAGCAGAGAGCTGGGTCAGAAGTGGAGCAGCCGGGACTGAACCAGCGACCATATGGGATGCTGACACTGCAGGTGGCAGCTTTACCCACTATGCCACAGCGCAGGTCCCAGCAGTGCAGTTTCTTAATCTCAGGGCAGTGTGAGGGGCATGTGGTTGGGGCTACTGTTTAACACGAAAGGCCAGAAAACAGTAAGGTGATGTCAGCAGCTGTTACACAGGAGCCTTGGAGGTGAGCATGCAACAGCTCAGTTGAGGAACAAAGGATGCGGATGGTGACTGTCTCTTTCCTAGGTGCCCTGGAGGGGCTAGGGGTTCGTGAGCTAGGCAGGCTCGCCCAACAATGCATGCACATGCCCCACCTTCCTCAGCCTCTGGCGCCACGGGCATGCGTTCTATTGGCTCTCCAGAGAGCGGAGAGCATGTTGACCGGCCCTGGGTGAGTGAGGCCAGGAGCTAGTGGCTCACGGGAAAAGGCCACTCGCAGTCCAGAGCAATGACCAGGAGGCTAATTTTAACCAAGAGCAGCAGAGTGACCTTGGCACAGGAGGGGACGGCTCCAGCAGCGATGCCCCTAGATGGTACCCTGGCCCTTCCAGAAACATCAGGTGGAGATTAGAGAGCCCTCCTTGCCCTCGGCCCCCCCGCTGCCGCTGTCAGCTCCCAGGCAGCCGTCCCTCTTCACCTCATCAGTCCTCAGTAATCTGCCTTCAGACCCGCAGGGACTGGCTCCCATCAGGCCCTGTCAGCCTCTGCTGCCCACAGGGACCCATGGCCCAGGGGCCAAGCTGCTGGCTGTGGGTGGGAGAGGTAGGGGCTCTGGCAGGTTGGGATCTGGGGACGCCATGGAAGGTGCGGTCTGGCCTGGACCTTGGCTTCCAAGTGTGTTGGGGGAAGGGAGTGTGCACCTACTGACACCCTGCCGCATGCACACCCTGGGTCCAAAGCCCTGTGCCCACTATCTCGGTTCATCCCCAGCTTCCCTAGAGGCAGGTGTGTTTGTGTCCATTTTAAAGATAATGTCACTGAGGCCCAGGAAGTTCAATAATTTGCTAGAGACCCCGCAGCCAGCACGAGACAGAGCCGAGAGGTGACGTGAGTGTCGCCTGACTGCTCCCAAGCTCATTCTTCCACTGCACGAGCTGCAGCTGGCAAGAGCTGTGCGCCAGGCAGGCCGGGCCAGCCCCAGCCTCCGCTCCAGCTTGCTGCAACCTCAAAGCCTTGCCTCTTCCCCCGCCCAGGAAGCTCTGGCTGGAGGGGGCTCTGCAGAGACGGGGGAGGAGCTTAGTGGACGCCCTCGTCTCTAGGGGCCTTGGTGTTCTCATCTACCAAATGGGATCAGTAACAGAACCCACTTGTGCGGGGTGGCATTGTGTGGCTGCAGCACACGCCCAGTGCCGGGCACAGAGGATGCAAGGTGGCGCTGTCAGCTCGGGGATGGCGCGGGAGCCCGGTGCATGCGCACAGGTGACACGCTTGCTTCTGGGAGCCGGCCTGGGCGAGGGCTCCTGGGGCGGAGGGGCCTGCCTTACTTGTGGCTGGATCTCTGCAGGGTGAAGTAGGGGCCTGAGCGGACACAGAGTGCCCCTGGTGCCAGCAGCCCCTACCCATGAACGCCTGGGCGCTCCCGGGGGCTGTTCGTAGGTGTGCGGGGACGTCTGGCAGTTGCGCCTGGCCTCGCGCCCAGGGCCTCGGGCCACGTGCATCCAGTGTGGGCACCTTTGAGGCCTGGTGGCTTCGCTGTCTCCGCTCCCCACCGGGCTGAAACTGACGAGGAGGACAGCCCAGGAGGGCACCTGCGCAGCCTCACGGGGCACGGCTCATGCCAGTGCCCTTCGCTGTGGCCAGGGGCCCCCTTGCCAGGGACATCGTGAGGAGCCCACAGGCTCCTGCCCCTGCCTTGTCGCTAGATGACCGGAAATGGGAGTTGGCTGCACGCACGAGAAGCTGCTGGGAGTCGCGAGTGTAGACCATGGAGTGCGGCGCCCATGTGCAGCCCTAGGCTTGCTGGGTGCTGTGGTCTGCGCCCTGAAATAATTTCCAGGGGACCACATGACCTGGTCTGGACAATACAGAAAGTCCTGGTTTCAGACGAATGTGCGTGAGGGAGCACCTGCCGGCCGCCGCGGGGGTCCCAGGAGCTCAGAGCAGGGGCCTGGCCCAGCATAGCACCTGGAGGCGGGGCCCGCGGAGGTGGCAGCTTCCAGGTGTGGCTACCAGCCCTTGGGCTAATGCCTTCCCCCAGCCTCAGTTTCTCATTTGTGAGGACAAAGGGTGAGACTGTTGGACTAGGTGACTGGCTTCCAGAAAAATGTTGAAGTCAGACTCTGTTTCAAAAAAGGCAATCAAATAAGTAAAATGCAAGAGGAGCAGGCGTGTCCAGTGGGTGGGTGATGCCCACCCTCTTGTTCTCCGGCCCATCCCACCCTGAGCGTCCTCCCCCTGAGGTTTTGCCATAGCCCCTGCCCAAGGCTCCCGGCAGTGTGGTTTGAACCTTGTGTGCCAGGTGCTTCCTTGGAGAATGGCTGAGATGGAGAGCCCTCCCTGTGCTGTTCACTGGCGGTGTGGACTGGAACCTATTTCTCACCCTCTCTGGGCCCCAGATTCTGCCTCTGTAAAATGAGGACTCTAAGCCTCCCTCTCAGGGTGACAGGGTCCCGGGCACAGGCTCAGCACGTGTGGCTGACTGGGAGGGCTCTGTCGCTATCCAAGCATCTAAACCACATAGCAGCAGGCTTGGCTTGCCAGCAGAGGCCAGGGCGGGTCCCCGAAGTCAGGCATCCGGGGGTCTCTCGTCCTCCCTGCTCCCTCTGAAACTGAAGAGGGGTGTCTAGCAACTCTCAGTGAACATTTGAGGTGGGGGTCTGTGCACGGGTCCCCTAGGCCCACCTGGGGACAGCTGGGAGTGTCTGGGCTGAGGTGGCGCTGGGAGAGATGTGTGTAGAGGCTCTTTCCCAAGAATGGAACCCAGGGGTTCTCCACATGCACACAACTCCTGCCCTGACCCAGCCCCCCCACCCCAGCAGATGCTCAGCCAGGCCTCCGGGGCCCAGCGGGAAGTAGGGGATCCTCCGAGTTAGGGGGCCCAAAGGGTTACCAGGAGCACACAGCAACCCTGGGAATCCCAAAAGTACCAGGCTCTCTTCAAGTAGGGCAGAGGTCTCTTAGGGCCTCAAGTTAAAAACAAACACACACCAGGGGGTGATTGTGTCCACACACCACCCTCCACCTTCTCTACCACCACCAGGATGGCCACGATGAAAGCAAAAGGCACCCAGAGAATGGCCGGTGTGTGTGGCCTGGGAGACAGAGCTGTGCCCCTGTGTTCACGGTGTTACAGGAAATTATTGTTACCTCGCTTCTTTGTCTCTTGGAAGAACTTCCAAGTGGACGGCAAAGAGATTTAAAAGCATTTATTAGAATCAGGGACCTGCAGCCAGAGCGGTGTGGTGGGGGCTTCCAAGAGAGGAAACCCCAAAGGGACTGGTGGCAGTCGGCTCTAAGTACAATTTCAAAGGGAAAAAACTTGACAATCAGATTGGCATTCAGTTGCCAGGCAAGAACAAAAACCATCACAAGACTCATTTACAGTTTTCCATCCCTGCTGGCCTGCTAAGGGTGGGGTCGGTAACTTGTTTTCAGAAGGAGCTGTGAGCTCAGAAAGAGGTCCCTTGCTATTCTCATGGTAAATTTGGAGATTCTGAAGGAAGGAGGGCAGCCTGTGTTCTTGCTAAAATAACGTTTTTGGGGGAAGGAAGCAAATATTTTACACCCCAGGTTCCACTGGGGCCCCCGACTGTGAGCCCATCTGACTCCTCACAAGGGCAGTGCCTCCCACAAGAGCCACGTGGTGAACACACCCAAGCGTCCATCAACAAGCGAATGGGCAGGCAAAGGAGCTCTTTCCAGAAAGGGGAGCTGTAGTCAGCCTCACCCAGAAGTGAATTCCGGCCCACGCGCAGCCAATGAACCCACGGCCGAGACAAATACCACGTGACTCCACCTGTGGGGGGGAGGTTGGGGTCCCAGAGGCAGAAGGCAATGTGGAGGGTGGGCGCCAGGGGCCTGGGTTAGTGTTGACTGCTGTGGGGTTCCTGCTGAGGGAGAGGAGGGAGGACCCTGGGAATGCACCCGAGTTACTGAAGGGCCTACTCTGTGCCATGCCTGTTGTAGGACACTCAGGGGACCACCTGACCTGGCCAGGGAAGGCGAAACCTGGTGGGCGCTGTGGGAAAGCCTTGCCCACCTGCAGGAGTTTGCTCAGTGCTGGCCCCTGGGCGGTCCACTTCAGCTTTGGCTCCTCCTGGTTTGTAGATTGGGAATTTAATCCCCCAGATACTGTTGTCTGAAAGTAGTCAATCGTGAGGCCATGTCCAGTTTCACACTGACACTGCCAGGGGCTTAGCGCTGGGCCCTGGGGCGGAGGAAGCAGCAGAGTCAACAGTGGCTCTGGGGTTGCTGTGGGCTGTTTGGCCAGGGCTGGGTGTGACCCAGCCCTACTTCACACCTGGAGATGGGGTCTACAATGAGGTCCTGTGCCTGGGCTCTGAGCCCATCTGCCTGGGGGCCTTGCACGAAGAGGAGAGGACATAGACACACACAGGGGGGTGACCATGAGGGACACATGAAGACAGGGGTCACCCAGCAAAGGGGTTCCTGAAGGCCCTTCTTGGGGTCTACAACAGCACTAGTAAGAGTTACCATCGCTGAGTGCCTACCATAAGACAGGCGCTGTGACAAATGCCTCATGTGGACTGTTTCACCTAAATCTCACAAGCGTAAGAGGGAGGGGTCATTACTGTGCCCATTTTACAGATGAGGAAACTGAGGCTCAGAGGAGTTGAGCAAAGTGCCTAGGGTCATACGTCCCAACAGGAACTGCTTGAATTTGAATCCAGGTCTATCTGACCCCACAGATCTTGCTGTTACTCTTGTCACCAAAACGTTGAGGGTGTGCCCCACTTTGGGGGTGGAGACAGGGTGAGTTCAACCTCCACCTCAGGCATTGGGGCATCTGGGGTCCCAAGACTCAGGCTGCACTCTCACCACAGGGTGAGAGTCTCTTTCTCTCTCTTTCTCTCTCTCTCTCTCTCTCTCTCTCACACACACACACACACACACTCTTACCTTTCACTTTCTAGCAGGGGGTTGGAAGGCCCCTCCTCCTTTATAAGCTTACTTAGGTGCCCAAGAAAAACACCAGAAAACCTGGTTTCAGTTCTGGCCACCACCATGGCAAGGACGCCTCCTAGTGGAGGAAACTCTTCAGTCCTCCAAGGAAAACCTGGTAATGCATTCATGTATGTATGTATGTATATTTTTGAAAGGTGGGGTGATAGAAAGGCAGAGAGAGAGAGACAGAGAGACAGACAGAGATCTTCCACCTGCTGATTCACTCCCACAACAGCTGGGGCTGGGTCGGGCTGAAGTCAGGTGCCCGGAGCTCTTTCATCTGGATCTCCTGCGTGGGTGGCAGGGACCCAAGCACTGGGCCATCCTCTGCTGTCTCCCAGGTGCATTAGCGAGGAGCTGGATTGGAGGCAGAGCAACCGGAACTTGAACCGCTGCTCCAGTATGGGATGCAAGTGTCCCTAGCAGTGACTTAGTCCACTGCCACAATGCCCCTCCCTTTGTGGGCTTCTGTTCTGGGTTCTGCAGGCTGTCATTTGCGTATCAACACTGGGAATCGCCACAAGCACCTGTTAGCCCTGCAGTACCAGGACCTGAGCCTGACTGACCCCCAGGTGTCATGGGCCAGCCCTCCTGGGAAGCCCTCCTGCAGACCTCACAAAGCTCAGCCCGGAGGTCCAGGAGGAAACACCTGGGGCACTAGCACTTTGCCATTCCCTCCCCCCAAGTTCTGTACTCCACCGCAGCTGGGTCTCCCTGCAGCCAGGGCTGAGAGCAAGGGGCCAAGCCGAGGCTTGCGCCACTGAACCGCTGCTGAAGGACCACGATTGCAGATCCAGCCCAAGACTAGGAGATAGAAGACAAGAGGAGGGCCCCGAGGGCCCCGAGGAGATGTCTGTGGAGCACTGGGTGACCCCCTTCATCTGTAGGGTAAGGCGCTAGGGCAGCTTCCTCGGCTGCAGAGCGACAACAGTGGCCACCAAGCCAGACTCCTGGCGTTTGCCCCCTGTCGTCGGTTCAGAGCCTTAGCTGCGCCCAGGCTTCAGATCCGCGTCCATGGGCCGGGGATAAGTGGGGTGAGGACGCCCCCTGCCGGTCGGAAAAGGCACTAAGGGGTTCGTAGTCGCCCTGCGGGGGCGAGACTCAGCTTCAACCCCAGACCCTGTGCCTTGCAGGGCTCGCGCGGGCGGAGACCCTCAGGCACAGCGGGTATGCGTCGTCCAATCTTGTCGCCAGAAACTACCCGGGGAAGGTCAGACTCTTGCGACTTTATTACAGAACAGTCCCAAAGTGCGGAGTGCCGCCTGGGTCGGGGGCCCCCCACCCCGGCAGCAAGCAGGGCGCGGCTCCGGGCGCACGGCGGCGCCTGCGCGGTGCTGGCACTGCTCTGCGCACCTCCCGAGGCTTAACCCTGCGGCGGTCAGAGCGAACGACAGGCGTGAAAAGCCACACGGTCCTGCCCTGTGGTGCCAACGCACAGAGGGGCTCGGGAAGTCGTTCCAGGGCCCAGCCGGCGATCCTGCGAGGTCGCCTCTACCCCTGGTTCCTGATCGGAGACGTGGGTGCGCCAGTACCCCTCGGCCCGTCCGGCTCGCCCGCGGCCTGAAGAAGAGCCGCAGCGGTCCACAGGTGCGGTTCACCCCGGGCCCGAGGCTCGCACAGGTGAGCCAGGGGGCGGGGCCGCGTGCCTAGGGCTGCAGCTCGTACTGCCGCTCGGTGGCCGTGTAGAAGTCCTCCAGCACCGACTGCAGGAACTCGAAGGTGGGCCGCTCCTCCGGCCGGTCCCGCCAGCACTCGGCGATGACGTCGCGGTACAGCTCGGGCGGGCAGGAGTCCGGGCGCGGCATGCGGTAGCCGCGCTCCAGGCTGCGGATGACCTCGGGGTTGCTCATCCCTGCGGGCAGCGGACAGCGCGGGGCGGGGCGCCAGGCTCAGGACGGGGAGGGCGCGCGCCGCAAGGGCGCAGACGCCTGCTTCCTCCCGGTCGCCGGCTCTGGCCGTCTCTGTCTAGGGTTGGCAGAAAGGCTGCAGAGAGGCTGTGCGTTTCCTCCTGAATGGGCAGCCTCCCCCGAGGAGGACCCTCTATGATGATCTGTGATTGCCTGGGACACCCGCCACGCACTGGACAGGTGCCCTGAAAATTCACCCCGGCCGACTGCCAGGCTGAGCGGTGCGGAGAGTGGGGGTTTTGCATTCTGCCTGCTCAGGATGGGGCTCTGGCATACACCCCAGGTGTAAGAACCAGGGAAGAGACAACCTGTCCCCAGCTGACACAGATCGGCTGGGAATGAAGTGGAGTTCACTCTGATTGCTGTTTTCAGAGCTCACTTGATGTCAGAGCAAAGATGATAAAGCAGCACAATCCCACCCCACCCCCATCCCCGGGACCTGCCTGGGTCTCTGACAGGACCTGGCTGTGGCAAGCACGGGCAGCGCCGGTGCTCCCCCACCCCCACCCCAGGATGGCATCGGGGAGACAGGCAGCGTCGGGAGAGCTGTGGGGCACAGCCTACCTGGATATGGCACCCGCCCATACGTGACAATTTCCATCAAGAGGATCCCAAATGACCACACGTCTGCTTTGATGGTGAACACCCCGAACTGGATGGCTTCGGGCGCAGTCCACTTGATGGGGAACTTGGCTCCTGCAGGAAAAGCCCCAGGAGGCTCTGAGAGGTGGTGCCTTGGTGCCCGCACCCCTACACACCCCCAGCCTGCCCCCACTCTGGGGCCTTGCTGGGCTCGGCTCCTGGACACAGCAGAGCTGCCTCCAGGAGTCACTAAGATACCCCAGGACACAAGAGCACTCCCCATCACCCCTCTGGGTCTTTGCATGGAGGGCACATGGACCTCATAAAAGTGCGTCCATCCGGGATGGCAGAATCTCCCCCTCCCCGCACACGTGAACTTGTCCTGCAACCTGGAGATGGCAGGTGATGTGGGTGCCTCCCTGGGGTGCTGTGAGGCAGGAATCGAATCCTGGAGTCTTTCTGAGCAGCCCATGCTGTGCCCACCTGAGCTTTTCCGTGGCCTTGCTATCTCGGTCACTGAGGGACCAAGCCCATCTCTCCTCCTGGACCTGGACCCACTAGTTACTGTGCTCGCCTAACAGCGACACCTATGCTCACTTTCGCTTCTCCCGAGCTGCGATAGACAGAGGCAGAGTGCTCCGGGGGAAGCCTGACCCGGTGCAGGCGCTGCTGCTCAAAGTCTGATCCGTGAAACTCTGCTTTGGTGGACAGTGTACAGGAACCAAACGGGCAAAGTATTTGGGGCTCAAAATAGCTGGGGGACTGGAGGTGAGGCCTATGTACACGTAAAGGTCACTGCAGGACTTCTCAGTGCCTTTGCTGTGGTGCCGTGCACTGGGGATCAGCTCCAGGCAGCACCCCCACGCCTGTCTCCCTGCAGAGCCACTCCCCTGTGGACGGTCTGCTCTGCCCAATGCACCCAGGACAGGCGATTGTGCAGGTGCAGGTGTGGGTGCCTCACAACGCTGAGGTCCCTTCCCACGGGGGCTTGTGGAGTCCGGGGTTAGGGCAGGCCCGCTCACCCTCCTGGGCGGTGTACTCGCTGTCGATGATGCGGGCCAGGCCAAAGTCAGCGATTTTACAGCTCAGCGCCTCGGACACGAGGATGTTGGCCGCCCTCAGGTCGCGGTGGATGGAGTTCATGTGCTCTATGTACGCCATGCCTTCGGCAATCTGAGGGCACAAGGCCATGAGGTGAAGGGCCGCGCGGGGGGCCGGGGGCGGGGGTGCATGCACCCAGCATCCCCCGCACAGCCCCTAAGCCCCTCACCCACCAGCCCGCCTGCCAAGCCCACCTTACCACCCACTAGCAATACAGGGAGGTCAGGGCAGGCTGGAGTGGGCTTTTTGCTTGCTTCTGGTGGTTGCGTGGGGGTGATACTGTGGCTAGGGAAGCCATGTGGGAGGCAGTGCTCCCCAGCCAGCTCAACCCCAGGCCCCCAGAAGCCCGGCACGGCAGGGACACGGTGGGCGGAGACGCAGGGGCCACCTGTGCATCCGGGCAGTGTCCGAGTGTCTGTGGGGAAGGCGGGCAGCAGGACCAAGGCAAGGGCAAGGAAGGTGTCTGCGGAGGGAGGGAGCAGAACAGGAGGGGGCGGGGAAGGATGAGGAGGGCGTGTCCTCTCCTTGGGGAGCCCACAGTGGGAACCCCGGGCCCTCTGCAAGTTGCTTCACCTTGCTGAGGGTCACAGCTGTGGCCTGGGACTGGGGGAAGACTGTGCAGGGCACGGAGTTGAGGAGCAGGCGGGACGCAGTTTGTGGCCAGGGGCCGGGCCCTGCACCTGCCCTGAGGTGGCTACAGGAGGCCTGAGCAGAATCCAGGGGGAAGAGAGCAAAGGGGAGGAACCCTGTTCTCCTTCCCCTGCTCCGGTGCCTGTCAGCTGAGAAGCTGAGGCTTTATTCACCCGACTGACAGGTGGAGAAACTGAGGCAGAGAACACTCAGTCAGTGTACCCCTCAGGCCCACGGTACAAGACGCCAACACTGCAGCAGATCCCTCCCCTTACATTCCCGCTTGCCTGGCCTTCTTCCTGAGCCCACTCCCTCCTTCCTCGCTAAAGCATTGCCTCAGTGTGCAGTGACTAGTGTGGGGCCACGGGGCAGGCACAATTGCTAAACACCTCTGGTCTGGGCAGTGTCAAGCAGGACTCCCCTTAGCTGATGCCTCCTCAGTGGTACTGGCAATACAGACGCAAAGAACAGGTGAGCAGGGCGCAGACCCACTGGGGAGAAGAACGTGCCACAGCCCACGCTATGGAGAACACGGAGGGAGGGCCCTCCAGTGGGAGACGCTGACTTGGGCCTGAGCAGCTTCCCGCCAGGTGGGAAGCCCGGGAGGCACTCTGGGCAGAGGGGCACAGGTGTGAAAGGGCACAGGGCGTGAGCAGGGCTGCGTGGCTGCCAGGGGGGTGCGAGGGGCTGAGGCTGGAGGGGCCTCAGGCATGGGTGATCCAGAGCTGGCCTTGGAGGGAGGCTCATGGGGACTTTGCATTTCACCCTGTAGAGCAGGAGGAGAGCCCGGGGACGTCTAGCTTGTGTGTGCGCACACAGGTCCTGGTGTGTGCTCCTGTGCTGTATGTACGAGGGTGCTGGTGTGTGCACCTGTGCTGTATGTATGCTGGTCCTGGTGTGTATGCACCTGTGCTGTATGTACGCAGGTCCTGGTGTGTGCTCCTGTGTTGTATGTATGCAGGTCCTGGTGTGTGCACCTGTGCTGTATGTACGCAGGTCCTGGTGTGTGCACCTGTGTTGTATGTACGAGGGTGCTGGTGTGTGCACCTGTGCTGTATGTATGCTGGTCCTGGTGTGTGCACCTGTGCTGTATGTATGCAGGTCCTGGTGTGTGCACCTGTGCTGTATGTACGCGGGTGCTGGTGTGTGCACCTGTGCTGTATGTACGCAGGTCCTGGTGTGTATGCACCTGTGCTGTATGTACGCAGGGCCTGGTGTGTGCACATGCAGGGAGCAGCATCAGCATGACCAGAATGTGACTTGGAGGCTGTCTGGTTTTCAAGTTTCCTAGTCCCTGGATTTGGACACTTCTAGAAACTAAACTCAGATGATTTCTCACACTCTCTGCCCCTCACACCCCAAGGTTCTCCAAGGGGTTATAGAGTAAAAGAGAGCGAGAAGGAAGCAGAGGGAGAAGGAGTGAACAGGCTTATCAGTACTGTACGGTTTGAAACTGGCTGTCTGTGTTAACTTCCTGTCGCTGTCTCACTGGCTGGGTGGGGACCTGGCCACTGGTGTGTGTGTGTGTGTGTGTGTGTGTGTATGTGTGTGTATGTGTGTGAGCTGACCACGGGACAGTTTTTCTGCAGAGGGTTCCAGTGCAACACACAAGGCCACCAGATGCCCTGTCCTGCCCACTAGAGCCCTCAGCTAGAGTCCCCAGGGGGCAAGGGCCCACCTCTCCCTTCTGCTCACCCCTCGCAGAGTCTGAAGTTGAGAGGGCAAACCCTGGCGATTGGGAGTTCTCTAGGATGCAGCAAAGGGATGTCCCTGGCACTTGCAGGGGGCTTAGGCCTGCCCATCAGCCTGGGCTGATCTCAGTGCCACCTGAGAACTTGGGGCTCCTGGGCTGGAACCAGTGTTTTCAGTCAGTTCCTGGAGGCACCCCGAAGGAAGAAGTGGGGTTACAGTGAGCATACCTGCTGACTGTGTTGAATAGACTCTAGCTAACTCTTAAGAATGTCTCCCAGCCTCCGGGCGCCCTGCCTGCCTTCATGGGGAACATGCTTCCTTGTAGTGGCTGCCCAGAACCAGGACGGCAGCCCCCAGTCCTTGTAGCTCGGGGCCCGGAGATACGGCAGCCAGGGAACTGCAAGAGCCGAGGAAAGTCCCCAGAGGCTTTCGTCCCCTGGATCTCTTCCTGTCCTCTGAGAAGAGGACACAATGGCAGAGCTGCACAGCCGGGGTTGGGGGGCAGCAGCTTGCTGAGATCCCTGGTGGGGTGGCAGAAGCTGGGGTACAGAGCCCGCCTCGGCTGCCCACCTCTCAGTACCACATGGGGTTTTCCGTGTCCCTCGCAGTCCAGCCTGAAGCAGACCTGTACAACCTCCACATAGTTGATTATAGCAGCCAGGGTTGTGCAGCGCAGCAGGTTAAGCCACTGTCTGCAAGACCAGCAGCTGTAGTTCAAGTCCTGACTGCTCCGCTCCTGATCCAGCTCCCTGCTAATGGCCTGGGAAAGCAGTGGAGGATGGTCCAAGTGCTTGTGCCCCTGTACCCACGTGGGAGACCCAGATGGAGTTCTTGCCTCCTGGCTTGGCCTGGCCATTGTGGCCATCTGGGAAGTGAACCAGAGGATGGAAGATCCTCTCTCTCTTTCTCCCTCTCTCCATCTGTCATGCTGTCTTTCAAGTAAATAAGTCTTTTAAAAAGCAGTTGATTTTGTTAAGGCCCAGAGCACCAGGGAGAGGGACGTGGGCAGGGGTGAGGGCATTGCTCCCCCCAGGCTCCCTCTGCACCTGTGGTGCACCAACCTGGGCTGACATGTCGATCAGCCGTGGGAGGGACAATTTGCTGCCTTCATCCGTCTTCAGGAAATCCAGCAAGCAGCCTAAGAAAAGAGAAGTTGCAACTGGACCTCCGCAAAGCCACCCATGCCTGGTTGTGCCAGTCTCTCCCCTGCTGGTGGTGGGAAGTGGCTGGTGGCGCCATCAGAGCTCTTGCCTCGCGGGGACCACCTGCAGACACTGGGAGCCTTGCACGCTGAAGAAGCTCAGTAGCAGCTGACAGCCCCCAGCTGGGGAGAAGCAGTTAGGTGTCAGCCAGGTCAGCCACCTGTCTGAGGTCACTGGCGGGGGGAGCTGAGAATGGAAGCCAGGTTCTGACTGGAAGGTCAGTGCTGTTCCCCAGCCAGGTGCTCCCACACGTCTGCCTCGCTCTCCCCGTCCCTGCTGACAGACTGTGCCCTGAGGACCAAGGAAACACCAGAAGGGAGAGAACTGGGCCTGGGGCCATGGCCATTGCTCTGTGGAATCAAAGCCGAGCTGCAGCCCACGTGGCAATGTTGAAGGAACTGTATCACCATGGCCACTCAAAGGAGCTGTGTGGGGTTAGGGTCATGGTGGGTGAGCAAGAGGGAAGTGAAAAGCTGAGGCTGACCCTCCCTCCCCTGCACCCATGTCTGCTGCCCATGGGAACCTGCCCAGCCCAGTCTCTGTGGTCATCCAGGTTGTAAAATCCCAAGGACCCAGCTCTTTCCACTTGGCAACGCTCTACCCTCCCCGTGAGCACAGAAGAGTGTGATAAGCACACACACACTGCAGGAATGTGGGCTGCACTCTGCTAGGTAAGGACCTGTCAGCTCTCTTCCCTCTTGGCCTCTTTCCTACTGCACAGCCCCCCACCCCCCAACCACGCAGAGCAGTGCCCTCTGTCTACAGCACAGGAGCTCACAGACCCCCTGGCCAGGCAAGCCCACTGCAGGGCCCCACCCCAGCCCCCATCCAGCCTCGGCATGAGGACGGAGCCCCGCAGGAGGCAGCACCTCTGGCCATGTACTCCGTGACGATGTAGATGGGCTCCCTGGTGACCACGGCGTAGAGGCGCACCAGCCGCTCGTGCTGCAGGGTCTTCATCAGGTTGGCCTCGCCCAGGAAGGCTTCTGGAGACATGGTTCCCTCCTTCAAGGTCTTGATGGCCACCTTCACGTTGTTCTTGTAGTAACCTGAGCCAGGCAGGGCAGGGGGTTGGGGGAGAGGATGGAGCAGCCGTTTGCAAGGTGGAGGGGTTGCTTGCAGGCGGTGCCTCCCCAGCCCACAGAAGCGGCCGGGGCCACCACATTCTATGGGCAGCTCCTGCAGGAGATGAGCATGTGGCGGATCTTGGGCAAGGACCCCAGCCTGTCTCTGCTCCGCGGGCTGCACTGGGGTCTCAGGCTGTCGAGGAACTCACCCTGCCTGGTAGTAGGGTAGGCGGGGAGGGGGGGCGTTCACCTCTTTGCTCCATACCAGGGTCAGAGTGGCGTTCCCTTGCCCTGCACGTAGCTTGCCTCCTGCCCCTCCGTGTCACTCTGCAGCTTCACATGGAAATGAGCTGCATGCAATTGCAAGGTAGGGGGGTTGGGTCTGCTCCCTCCTCCTTTCCCATTCCTCAAAGTTCCTGTAGCCCCAGGCTCTCCAGTGCTCCATAGGGCTCCATCCACCCCCAAAGGGTAACGGCCAGCAACTCAGAGCAGACATGCTCCGCCCTGTCCCGGGGCAGCGGCGCCTGGAGGAGCTCCTGCCAGAGGCCCCTCAGGCATCAGCCCTGGGTGTAGACACTTGGGGAGGCTTCAGGATCCAACTCTGAATCATGCCCCAGTGGACCAGGGCAGGGACCGAAGCACCACTGGATCTTATATTCTGATGGTGCCCATGGGGAGTGGGGAGTGGTCCCATGAGCTGCAAGTGCGAGGTGGGGAGACCGGACTGGAGGGTAAGGGACAAGGCCAGTGGCTGGCTGCAGCACCTGCACCTACAGTCAGACTCCAGAGCTCCTGGCTCACGGCTCGCCATGCTTCAGAAAGCCTCCATCTGTGGGAGCCAAGCTGAGGGGTGGACCAGATGGTCGAGCTCACCCCAAGGCCCAGGCCAGGCCACCAGCAGGCCAAGCGGAACTAAGAGGGGGGGCCTGACTTGGCGGGTGGAGAGCTGGATGGATTCCTTCTTCCCCAGCAAGATGTCCCAACGGGCATGGGTGGACAGCTCAAGGTTCTGAACTTGCATTACTTTGTCCTCACAGCCTCTGTGTGGGGCCCTAGGGGGAGGCGCATGCTGAGCCTTCGGCCTTCCACAGCCTTCCACCGACACCTGCAGGCTCTGGGCCCCGGGGCAGGGGAGGGGCCCCGGCACACCACGACTCACCCATCCAGACTTCGCCAAACTGCCCTGAGCCCAGCTTCCTGACCAGCTTCAGAGACTGCCGGGGGATCTCCCACTCGTCCTGGGCCCAGGGGCTCTGAGGAGCCACGCCCACACAGGGCAGGGTCAGCCTCTGGCATAGACCGTCCCCCTTCTCTGCATTGGGGAAGACAGGACCGGACAGGAGGTTACCAGAGCAGCCAGGCCCCCACTCCAGAGCCCGTCATCCCTGGCCATGTCCGTCCCTTCCCTCCCCCGCGTCTCCCCGCCGAGCCCCGCCTCCTAGCATGGCACAGGTGCATGCGCATGCGCATCTCCACGCTAGGTTCTAACATTCACTCCGCATAGAGCAGGTGTGCAGTCATCAGCCTGCCCTTGCTGAGACTGAACATCCTTGCTGCTGTCCAGGAGGCCCCACGCTGAGCCAGTAGAGGGCCCCTGGCTTGGAATCACCATGCCCAGTGTGGCCAATCCTTAGATCCGCCTTTGGGATCTTCTCCCTCCACCCCACGGAGGCGCCCGAGAGCCATAAAATTTGGGATCCTAGAGACAGACTCAGGGCTCCTCTGGCCCCAGCCCCAGCCCCAGCCCCAGCCCCAGCCCCCAGCAGGCGCCCCCTCTTACCAGAATAGTGCTCCACCAGGGCCTGGAGGGAGGGGAAGGTGGCCCGGGGGGAGATGTAGTAGCCCCCTTCATCCAGGGAGCGGATCTTATAGTGTTTGACCACCTCCCCCTGGGGGCTGGCGTCCTTCACCGACAGAGAGAAAGCGCCTGCAGAGATGGAAACTCAGCATGGGGTTGTGGGCTTCCTTTCAATGCTTTGCAAAAAAAAGCTCCCCTTAGTTCTGCTCTCCGTCTGGCTGCTTCCCTTTTCTTTCATCTCGACCTCCACCCCCCAGCGGTTCCTTGGCAGGACAGCGTGCGGCTATTCGTGCTGTCCGCCACTTGGGCGCCTGGTCGCTCAGGGACCCTGTGCCAGGAAACCCTGGGAAACGTTAAGGCGGCTGCTGGCAGGGGTTGGGGGTTAGGAGCTTTATTTATTTTTCTGGCTGATCAGGCTGACTCGGCTCCCACAAGCAAATAGCAAATCACAGCGTCAGGTACCCGTGCCCTGGGCAGAGGGCATCGTAAGCTATTTCCCAGTGGCCCTGTTCAATTCCTTTGCATTGGCACATACACATATATCCGTGATGCCCTTCTGCCCACAAGAACAACTTCGGAGGTAGGAGTTTCTGCTTTCCATGACCCCAAGGTTTTCCTAAAATGCCCCTGCCCAGCTCTCTGGGTTCCATGGGCACCTCCTATTCCCCCCAACCCCACAGCTGTCATTTGGGGTCGCTGAGGCCAGAAAGGAAGACCTGGTACCCCAGCGGCGGCTCCCGGGCGCCCTGCAGTGCCACGCTTCCCCGCTAGGGGTCAGGCGCGGAGCCCTGTTCTCCAGCATGGCCGCTTCCTTCTCTCTCTCCCATCAGAGCCCTGACCCCCTCCCGGCATGCCTCTCCTGGGGGGCCTCCGCCCGGGCCTGGTGACGGGTCTCCAGGAGAGCAGAGCACGGCTGGGAGGGGCTCCTGCACCCTGGCGCCCCCGGGATGGGGGCTCTCCCCCGGGCCACGCTGCTAGGCCGGTGCTTAGGATCCCTTCCTGCCTCAGCTCCTCCAAGGACCTGACCCTGACATCTTTGGACAATCTGGTTTTCTTCTTAAAGAGGTCGTCCATATCCTGCCAGCTTCAGGTTCACAAAACCCGGCCTCTGCCTCTGTGCTGTGTAGGCTGCCCCAGACTTGGGTGCTGTGGAGACTGGGATTTTCTGACGGGGGAAGGCGGCCGGCAGACTGGGGCTTAGGAGGCGGACCGAGGTCCTGCAGCCTGCACTGGCTAGCCGGCACGCCCCTGCCGGGGCAGCTCCCTTCCCAGTCTCCATGTGCTGGCTGTGACTTGGGGACGCTGACTGCGTGGTCTTGCTGTGTGTGCGTGCTAAATAAGATTCGTAGCAGTACCTGCCTCACAGCCCCCAAATGGAAACAACCCAATGTTGACCAACCTTCACACAGAAAGGCTGGTTTGGGATTCTCACGCAGATTCTCAACAGCTCAACAGATGAAGGCATCTGTTATGGGATGGACCGTGTCCCTAAAGTCTCACGTCCAAGTGCTAACCCCAGCAGCTGGAGACGTGACTATAGTGGGATTCTGGGTCTAGGTGATGAATTAACATGAGGTCTATGGGCAGGCGCTAATTCAACACCAGTGCTGCTCTCATGAGAAGAGATCAGGATGTGACAGGCACGGAGGGAAGGCTGTGTGAGCACTCCTGGAGAGACCAACCCTGCCCACACCTTGACCTTGGACTTGGACTTGGAGCCCCAGGGCAGGGGGATGGTGCATGCTGCTCTGTTATGGCTGTCCTAGCAAACGGATGCAGGCTCTCACAAGGTGGAGTGGAAAGAGCAAGACACATGGAAATGAAAATGGCACAATTCGCAAGTATAAACTCAACGTGGACACAATGTGGGTGGTAAAACAAAACAAAACAAAAATCGAGGGAGGATTTGCATGCAAGCCAGGGCAGTGGTTGCTAACCTCCCAGGAGGCAGGGGACGACCACAACTGTACATCTGGAATGTTCTCTCTCAGCTGTGGTTACAGAGGGGCTTACTTTTCATCACACTGTATAATTTATAGTTATTTACTCATTGATGATTTACGTGGTGTTACATGTATTTTGTATTTCACAACAACAAACATGAAGAACGAAAGAGGAGCTGGCGCTCTGCAAGGTAGTTAAGCTGCTGGTTGGGCGCCCGTATCATCCGGTGTCAGAGTGCCTGGGGGCCAGGCCCAGCTCTGCTCCCTGTTCCAGCGGCCTGCTAATGCGCACTCTGGGAGGCAGCAGGTGATGGCTCAAGTACTTGGGTCTCTGCCACCCACAAAGCAGACCTGGTTTGAGTTCCTAGCTCCTGGCTGTGGTCCCAGCCCAGCCCTGGCTGTTGTAGGCATTTGGGGAGTGAACCAGTGATGGAAGCTTTGTCTGTCTCTTTCAAATAAATAAATAAATAAACATAAAAAAAAAAAAAAAGGAAAGAAAGCTTAAGTCAGTAGAGGAAATGAGGGAAGCCCAGGTGTGGCAGCCATGTTTTGCTCAGTTACAGGATTCGACTTGGAGACCCAGTGTCATAATTCTGTTTTCCATAGTCACTGTCCCCTTCTAGGCACAGGCCAGCTCCCAGACCATGTCACCTGCCGGCTTCTGGCTGAGGGGCCTCTCAAGGATCATGGAGCTCGCTCATCTTTGGATTCCACATCCCAGCTGGGGATTGAGGGCTCTGGGGTCCACGCTGCCTCCACAGACCCCACTAGCCTCACTTTCCTGCTGACCGGGTTGCACGGTCAGGGTGGGGGGCGGGTCTCCCACTGGCCTCTGCTGCCCGTTGTCTGGGTGGTGTCTAGCCTGGGGGAGCTGCTCGTGTGCACAGCCTCAAAGTCAGCTGCCCAGCAGGGCCAGAAGTGGGAGGGCTCGGAGGCTACAGGTTCTCTGGGCAGGGACCCTTCCCCACTCACCGCACACACTAGGTCTATTGGGGGGGGGGGGCTTCCCAGGGCCCCAGGGCAGGGGCCAGGAAGGCTTACCTTGACTGGTTTCGCTCTCTCTTATGAGGAAGGAGCCGGCCTTGTTGACTGGAGCTAGAAGCTGCCTCTCGGCCTCTTTCCTGCTGATTGACTTAAAGAACCACCTGAAAAATGGTAAGACAAGTGAGCCTCAGGGTCCCCTTGCTTGGCAAGTTTTTTTTTTTTTTTTATAAGATTTATTTAATTTTTTTTGAAAGTCAGAGACGTCTTCCATCCACTGGTTCACTCCCCAAATGGCTGCAATGGCCAAGACCCAGGAAGGTCGAAGCCAGGAGCCTCATCCTGGTCTCTTATGTGGGTGCAGCGGCCCAAGCGCTTGGGCCATCCTCCAGTACTTTCCCAGGCCATAGCAGGGAGCTGGATCAGCGGTGGAGCAGCTGGGACACGAACCGGTGCCCATATGGGATGCCGGCAGCGCAGATGGCGTCACCCATGTCACCAATCCCTGTCCCTGGGAATATTTTTTTCCAGCTTCCCTCCTAAGCCATCCTTAGAGATGAGTTAGTCCTGAGCTGTTCTCCGTGTCTTGGAGCTTGCTCATCCCTTCTCGCTTCCCATCAGCTGCTGGACCGAAATGAAACCAGGACTTTATTTGGGTGGCCATTGTTAGTTTTGTTCAGGAAAAATGCACCCGATCCATCACTGTCCCCTACAGCATTGGCTCCGCAGGGTGGACACATGCCCACCCTTGGGGTCTGTGTCTGAAGGAGGCAGATGGCAGGAGACTCCCCAGCCTGGATTCCAGCTGTGCCCCTTCGGCGCAGGACTGTCCAGCACCGAGACGCCCCAGGGCCCCGCTAGCTGTTCTTCGGGGAAAGCCGCAGGCCAGAGCGCCCAGCCAGGCAGGGCAGGAGCAGCTGCGCGTTACCCGCTATGGCCCCTTTCCCAGGCTTGGATGGAGCCCGCTGTGCGCGCATGCTCCAGGCATCGTGTGCGCATGCTCCAGGCGTTGTGCGCGCCATTCGTGGGCAGGCCCCGCTGACCCGCACAGATGGTTCTGGTGAGTGTGGGCGGTGGGGCTGCTGATGGAAGCTGTTTCGGAACAGGGCCCGAATCCTGGGAGCCCCCTGGGCGCTGAGCCCTAGAGGCCTGCCCCTGGAGGCAGTGGGGCCTGCCTGCTGGCCAGAGAGCCTCACCGTGAGCTTGCAGGGCCACGCTGGGCAGGCCTCCATCCCGGGGATGCGAGAGAGGGAACCCTTGTCGTGTTTGATGGGGGGTGGGGGCGGTGTGGCTCCCTCTGTATCACACTGCGGGTTAAGTGCTGTGTGGACCAGGAGTTAACCCACTCCCGCCCCTTCTGGCTGGGCCCTGTGGTCACTGTTTAGCCAGCTTTCCGGCCCTGCCCTGCGTGGCAGCCTACAAAGCAGAAGCGGGAAAGGCACCTCCGGTTTGAGGGGGCTTCCGTTTGGCCACCTACTTTTCCACCTCCAGGGACTCGACTCCGGCCACAAAGTTGCTGGGCACGTAGCCTTCTTTCCCCGTGACGAGCGACCTGGCCAACCACCAGTCTCCAGTTCTATGGGGGAGAAGGAGAAACAGAAATACGGTGATGGCCCCCAGGGGCAGCACCCCCTCCCCATAACCTCATCCCTGGCCGGTGGGCAGAGAACTGGTGATGGCAGGCATTGTGGCAGCTGGGCGGGGGGTAGTTTGTGCATGTCGCCCAGTGCCCCGTGGGGCGGGTGCAGGAAATGACACAGGGACAGGAGGGGCGCAGCCTCTGAGGGGCAGCCTGGCCAGCCCAGGACGGCCGTGCCGTCTGGTGAGCGTCCTTCCTTCTTGATGAAGGGGACACTTTGGAATTCAGCAAGGGAGAGGGGATTCGCTTGGAAAAACTGAAGCAAGAGGGCTGCTGACAGGAGGAGGACAGTGGCTCCTATAGGGTCACAGGTCATGGTCTTCCTGTGCCAGGTTCAAGGCCACCGCAGAAACTCACTAACAAAATCAAGTTCTCAGGGCTTTGCACGACAAGGGGTATTCAAGAGAGAGCAGACTTTGGGGGAGTTGTCTGAGCCAGGCAGGTGCCGCGGGACCCAGTGGGGGAGTGGGAGCCAGGAGGGCTGCACAGAGGAGCTTAACCGTGGCGCAGGAGGCTGTGCAGGGCAGCCAGCTCCCTGGGAAGACCTTGGCAGGGAAGACAGTGGGTCAAGTTTAAGAGGCTGCTGCGGGGGATGGGGTGGGAGAGGGGAGAAGAGGCAGCCCTGGAGGGCTGGGGTGTGTGGTGAGGAGGCGGACAGAGAGAGGGAGTTCTGCCGTGTCCAGGTGCATGGCCAGGGGACAGCCTTCCCAAAACTCACTCCTGCAAGATCTGTAGCTTCTCGCCCCTCACCATGTGCAGGTCCTGGTCATTCACGGCTGCATAGTCGTACAGGGCCACCACAAAATGTCCCTCTGGAAGGAACAGGGAAGAGATGGCCACCACACAGGAGGGATGCGGGGGCTGGGGCTGGTGTGTGGGCTGAGTCACCTTCTGGGTATACAAGGGTTAGGGACAGGCAAGGATGGGGCAGCTGAGGTGAGGGTCTCGCTCACCCTGGAGAGGAAGTGCCCAGCAGGTGCATGGGCCTTGTGTCTGCTCCAGGGCTGGGCTGCCCTCAGAGCCCACCCCTCTCTGCCCTTCTGGGTCCTCTGAGAGGCCCTCAGGCCTGGACACAGACGTGGACAGTGAGCTGCGTGGAGGCAGCTGTTGGCAGGATCTGCCAACTACAGACCCAAGCATGGGGAGCAGAGTGAGCGACCCCCGCCCTGCCTTCCCCTGCCCTTGCCCCTGGCGCGCCTGAGCGTCCCTCCTCATTCCCCTACACCCTCTGCCCCTGCAGCCTCTATCCCTTAGAGGGCGTGGCTTTTGAAGGCAGTGGCCCTAGCCTTGACCTCTCCTAGCCCACCCCCATGGGGCTTCTGACGCAGGCAGTACCCCAGGCCTGCAGGCCCGGAACAGAGCAGGGGAGAGGGCCTGGAGGCTTGGTCTGTTGTCTCTCAGTGACCACTGCGGGTGATGAGGGCTCCCTGCACATCTGGGGAGGGTCCCCTGGAGACCTCGTGGCCTCCCCAGGAGTCCATGCCTCCGCTTTGTCCCTGAGGAGTGCTGTGACCTTTGTCTGGAAAGGGGCTACGGTGGGGACAGGGGGCCCATGTGGGTGTAAGACTGGAGTTCGCACACCAGGGGCTGAGCTTTGTTTCTGGAGATGGGGACCCCCTGTCAGGAAGCGAAGGATTGCTCACCCCCATGGGGACGAACATTGTCCCCAGCAGGATCAGGGATCCCACTTGGTTTGTGACACTGACAAACTGAGCCCTTCCTAGGAGCCATGCGTTACCCGCTGTCACACACTGCCCAGTCCCGGGACAGGGCATGGGAGGCCCCGGAGTGGCTTTGCTGGCCCAGGCGGACCTCCCTGTGCTGTGTGGGAGCAGCTGGTTCTGGACAGGTCACACCAGCCTGGGAGCCCTGGAGGTCTGAGCCCAGCCGAGTTTTGCCACCAGAGCAGAAGTGGAGTCTGTGCCGGAAGGAGGGGGACGGAAGGGGCTCTGGAACTTGGCTGGGAAGGTGGGTGACAAGGTGGTGCCGCCACGTGGACCAGAACCAGAGCATTGGCTCCATGCCATTGAGGTTGGGAGAGAATCTTTGAGAGCTTGGACTTGATGACGCTGTTAGAATTCCCTGCAGTGCTTTCCTGTTTGTTTTCCTTTCTGGTTTGTAAAAGTCTTCTTGAAAAGTCCCACCCAGAACTAGGAAGGTGTGCTTGGTCCTGGAGAGACTGCCAAGGCGCCCGCGGACCCAGGCCTCTGTCAGCCTCTGGATGCTTCTTCTCTTCTCTGACCTTGGCGGGCTGGCCTTGGAGAGAGGGCTGTGGGGCCTCTGTGCGCAGACCAGCCCTTCTTACCTTGCTCCGGGAGTTCACTGGGAGGTGGGGGGTCCAGGTGGTTAAGGACGACCTTGAGCAAAAACACACAGGCTCTGAGTTAGCGCAGCCCCTGCAGAGGGGGTAGCCTGGCGGCAGGGAGCTGTCGAGTGGGCTGATGGATGCCCGTGGGCACCGGGGAGGTGGCACAGGCAAATCCGGTACCTGCAGCAGCTGCTCCCCGGGGTCCCAGTGCCCACCCTCAGACATACTCGAGACTTTGCCACCTTCACTTCAACCGTGTGGGGATGCCCCAGGCTAGAAAAGACAGCTGTGGGGTGGGGAAAACCTCAGACACCTGGGTGAAGCCCTTAGCTCTACCAGTAGAAGATGAAGGTGCTAAAGGGTGTTTGTTGATAAGGAAGAATATTTTGGAAGTCCATTTCCCTAAAACTCAACACATGTATCTGTAAATGTAGGTCCTGGAGAGAAACCTCTGTGTATGTGTACCAGGAAACATAGCCTAGAGTGTTCCTAGAATAATGCAAAAAAACTTCCAAAATAATCCTTATGATCAAGTGACAGGAGGACAGAAAAATTGCAACATCATAGGGCTCTTCAGAAAGGTTGGGGAAAATGCATATTATGAAAAAACTAAGGCATGAATGTCAAATTTTTTTCCACTAAAACTTACCTTTTTTTTTTTTTAAAGAAATGCTTGTTTCTTTCTTCTTCTCTACCTGAGTGGCAGAGAGAGACAGAGACAGAGACAGAGAGAAAAAGAGATTCCAGCTTCTGGTTCATTCCCCAGAGACCCACAAGAGCCAGGGCTGGTCAGGCCACAGACAGAAGCCCAGAGCTCCAGCTGGATCTCCTGCGTGAGTGGCGGGCACCCAGATTCTGGAGTCATCACCTGCTGCTTCCCAGGATGCAACAGCAGGAAGCTGGACTGGAAGCAGAGCAGCCGGGAGTCGAGCTGGCGCTCCTGCCGACTCCCGTATGAGATGCAGGTGTCCCAAGTGGCAGCTTAGCCTGCTGCACCGCAAGGCCTGCCCATGAACTTATCTTTCCATTCTGTTTTCCAAGAACTTCTGGAGGTACCCTTGTGGCCATGCAGTGAAGTGAATGAACTGTAGCTCCATGCATCAGTGTGGGTGAATCTCACAGACATAATATTGAACCCAGACTCAAGTCTCAGAGGATACCTGCTGCTCGATTCAGTTGGTTTAAAATTCACAGCTGGGGGGCCGTTGCTGTGGCTCTGTAGGTTAATCCTCTGCCTGTGGCACCGGTATCCCATATAGGTGCCAGTTCTAGTCCCGGCTGCGCCTCTTCCAGTCCAGCTCTCTGCTATGGCCTGGGAAAGCAGTAGAAGATGGCCCAAGTCCTTGGGCCCCTGCACCCGCATGGGAGACCCGGAAGAAGCACCTGGCTCCTGGCTTCAGGTCAGCCAAGCTCTGGCCATTGCAGCCATTTGGGGAGTGAACTGGCAGTTAGAAGACCTCTCTCTCTCTCTCTCTCCCCCCCCCACCCCCGTTTGCCTCTCTGTAACTCTACCTCTCAAATAAATAATACATAAAATCTTTAAAAAAATAAAGTTCATAGTGGGAAAAATAAATGCTGTTTATTCTTGTTTACATATGTGATAATGTAAAACAGCTAAGGCTTGATGAACACTCTTGGGATGTGGGGGTGTGGGTGACGGGAGATGAACTGGCAGAGGTGCAAGGAGACACCAAGAAAAACGTGAGGCCGGGGGGAGCCACCCACATGCTGGCTTGATTGTACTCTTTCAGCCCGATGTGTGTGCTCTAATATTCTTTTTGTGGTCCAGATTTCTTGAACACAATCTTGAAGTAGCATTTTGCAAAATGTAAGCATGATCTCATTCCCTTCAAAACATGAACACACAAGGAATGCACAGAAATGGGCTCTCAGGACTCAGAGCTGGCCGCTGGTGTCTGGGATAGTGAGGAATTGTAATCTTTTGGTTATATGGCTTTTTTAAGTTAAAATAAATCCCAGGCTCCACCACTTTACATATAACTTTGGGGAAATGACTCAATCTGTCTCGAGTCCAGCTTTACCCATGTGATCATTTGTTTACTCAACAGACAGCTGGTTTTTGAGTGCCCAGGCCCCAGGGTTAACTGGGTCACAGGCGAGAAGATGGCTAGGCTCAGCCATGAGATGACTACAGTAACTCCCACCTCATACCAAGACCCTGTGAGAAATGAGGGGTGGCCTCGTGATGTGCCCCTGGTGACAGAGGAGGGGGCTCAGGCATGGCTCCCAAGTACCCTAGGCCAAAAGAGGGTAAGGGGCCCAGCAGCAGGGGCACAAACCATCGCCTGGAAACACATTTGTGAAAATGCAGTGGCTGTTAGAGGATGCTCACTGCTTTGTAAACAAACCAGAAGTGTGTTTAAGGGAAAATGGGTTTGGGGCTGGCGTGGTGCGGTAGATTGAGCCGCTGTTTGCAATACAGCAGCATCCCCTAATGGGGTGCTGCTTCAAGTCTCTGCTACTCTGTTTCCCATCCACCTTCCCACTAATGCATCCAGGAACGCAGAGGAAGTGCCCCTGCCACCCATGTGGGAGACCAGAAAGGAATTCCTGGCTCCTGGCTTCAGCCTGGCCCAGACCTGGCCATCACAGCCATTTGAGGAGTGAGCCGGCATATGGATGGATGATCTCTTTCTTTCTCCCTCTCTCTCATTCTGCCTTTCAAATAAAGAAAATCTTTTTTTTTAAAGATCTTTTTAAAGATTTTATTTAATTGAGAGGTAGTGTTACAGATAGAAAGAGGGAGAGACAGAAAGGTCTTCTATCCACCAGCTCACTCCCCACATGGCCTCAGCGGCTGGAGCTGAGCCCATCTGAAGCCAGGACCCAGGAGCTTTATCCGGGTCTCCCATGTGGGTGCAGGAGCCTGAGCCCTTGGGCCATCTTCCACTGCTTAACCAGGCCATAGCAGAGGAGCAGCTGTGACATGAACTAGTGCCTATCTGGGATGCCGCCACCACAGGCAGAGGCTTAGCCCACTTCACCACAGTGCCAGCCCCAGTAAATCATTTTTAAAAGGGAAGATGGATTCCCCAGCAGTAAAACGTTACCACTTGAAATCTCCCTGTTTTCTGCCCATGGAAAGTTTTCTGCCTGTGCAGTGCCTGTGGGGCTGCAGGGAGACGGAGGGTCTGCGGTGCCCTCAGTCTCAGGATGCTCACCTTGGCAGCGCTGCGCAGGGGCAGTGGTGTCCGGGTGCTTCCAGGGAGAGGCTGGCGCAGGGGTAGCTAAAAGCTCGGACCCTTCCCCACCACGCCCTCCCAAGCTGACCTCTTTGGTTTCTGCTGTGACAAGAGAGCACTGGCTAAACATCCTGGGTTAGACCCTGTGTGTTGTTCCGTGCCTATCAGGAAGGCACTTCTACTATACCCGTCAGGTGGAAACTGAGGCGCAGGTGCGTTAACTAATCTGCTTCAAAGCACACACTAAGATCTGCACTGGTTGTTGAGCATTCTGCTCTACTGCCACGCTGGTGTGTGGCTTGTCTACTACGGTGGGCTTGTCAGAACTGAGAGATGGCACTTGGGCCGGCTGGAGACCTGTGGTAGCCTCCGGGAGCTGCAAGTGCACCGCACTCCCCCTCCCGCTGCCTCCCACCGCGTCACTCACCAGGGGCGGTAGTGGTGGGGGTGCTTTGCTCTGAGCGCTGACCGTCGCGGGGCTCCAGTGGCTCTTGCCCTTCTCTTTGACTTGCTTTTTGCTGCCCACTAGCCCCATCCTGTGGAAAGGACACAGCAGGTTGGTGGTAGGAGATGGCAGGGCCGCCTCAGGTCCCGTGAAGGCAGGAAGGTGGAGGAGAAGGGTGGTTAGAAGGGGTGGGCAAGCTGAGCCTGTGTCCGTAATTTTCAGTGGCCCAGAGAGGAGAACAGGACACAGAGATCACCTGGCCAGAGGCAACAGCCAAAACCTGCTGGGGTGGATCCCAGGCTCCTGGGGACAGGTGTCTGGGTAGGGAGGCTCTTGAGTGTTCTAGAAAGAGCCCGATCAATGTGTCAGGTGTCTGGGTTTCAGGCTTTCTTTGGCCACTGGCTGTGTCACTTCAGACTGTCCTGTTTCCTTTTTGGGCCCATGGGCTCCTGGTAACCCGCAGAGCTGTGCTGGGGCAGGCGGGAGGTGCATTCCGGCTCCAGCTGGCAGATGGGGTGCTAGAACGAGGGAAGACCAGCAGCGCAGGCTTCTCAGGAGTACCTGGGGTCTCCTTAGGAGAGGAAAAAACTATGGCCAGGAGTGTTATCCAGGAAAGAATCTTAGGATGACAGACGTGGGGGAGACCCTAAGGACCAGGCCATTAGTACCACGTCCATGCCAGGAGGCCATGCTCTTTAGGGAGGCTGCTTCTCCACCCTGTTAAATAGCTTGTTCCTGGTGAAACAGTCAGCCGGTGCAGAGCTAGCCCAAGGTCCAGTCCAGTGCTGGGCCAGCACACTCATCTGGCCCAGGCCTGAGGTGTAGACCTTCGTGGAGAGAAGGGTCCCTGGGTCCCTGATGTTTTATTTAGGATGAGAATCTTCCTTCTCAGTGCGGTTCTCTCTGAGGGGCTCATGTGAAGGTGACCTGGCTGCGCGACGCGTACAGGGACTCTGTCTTTCCTCTGGGGCAGCCTCTGGTGTTTATTAACACTGGGATCATTTGCTCTTTAAAGGCTCCTTAGAACTCAGCCCTAAGGATCTCTTCCTGGAGCCCTTTTACTTAGGAGTCCTCTAAATATATTTAACTTCTTCGAAGGGAATTGTTCTGTACCAATTTTTCCTCCTGCTTGCGGAACTGACAGGAGATCTTTGATTTCCTCTGCATTTTCCAACTTTTTTCTGACTCCCAGCGCTGCTACTGATTCCAGCTTCTCTGTCAGAAAGAGAGCGAGCGAGCGAGCGAGCTCCCATCCACTCATTCAGGCCCCCCAAATACCTGCAGTGGCGGGGGCTGGGCCAGGGTTGGGGCCAGGAACACAGTCCGGGTGGCCAGAATCTAATTACTGGATTCTGCCTCCCAAGCAGGTGGGCCATCTTTCCCTGCCTTCCCAGGTGCATCAACAGGGAAGTCAGGACTCACACCAGCAGTCTGATATGGTTTAACCACGCACCACATTGTTGGCCGCAGAGATACAAAAATGTTTATTGCAGCAATAATTGTAGCAGATAAAACAAAACCCAACACAAAACTCAATAATGAAACTACTCACCAGATAGAGAACTGTTGACAAAAATGTATACTCTCAAAATCTCTAAATTATTGCACAGCTATTAAAAAGAACGAGCTGGATCTTTTATAATGGCTAAGAGGAATTTCTACAGTGTGTTGTCCCATGAGAAAAGCAGGTGTCAAGAGGTTCATGGAGGAGTGTGATGCGGCGGTGTAGCACAGAGGGTTAAGTCACTGCAACGCTGTCATCACTTATGGTTGCCAGTTCAAGTCCTGGCCGCTCCATTTCTGATCCGGCTCTCTGCTAATGTGCCTGGGAAAGTAACAGGATCGCCCATCAGCAGAAGGTGGCTTGGGCTTATGCCACACATGAGGGAGACCCAGATGGAGTTCCAAGCTCCTGGCTTTGGCCTGGCCCAGCCCTGGCCTTTGTGGCCATTTGGGGAGTGAACCAGAGGACAGAAGATTTCTCTCTCTCTCTAGCTCTGCCTGTGAAGTAAATAAATCAGTCTTTAAAAAAATGCTCCCTGGGGCAGTCCATATTTGGAGACAGCCGAGAGTGAGGAAGGAGCCCCTCGGCAGGCGTGTGTGTGCTTGTGGAAGGCGTGGACACTGAGCTGTTCACTCTGGTTATTGGCAGGAGGAAGTAGAGGTAGGAAGCAGAGGTAGAAGCCCCCTCCTCCCCCACCAAAGAAGAGCAAATTTTAAAGATTGTGTGTATGTGGGTGTCTATGCAAAACAATGCCCCCAAAAGATATTTCCTAAAGTGTTAATATTGTTTATCTCAGCCTCCATGTGACGTTTACTTTCTTTCTTAGAATTGTGTATATGCGTTGCATCCTTTAAAGATTGTGGGTACAAGTAGGAAGACTGAAAGTGAATGTGAATGCTTTGCTCCCCAGTAGAGGGGCCTACGGCCAGGAGCCAAGTTCAGACCTCAGTTCCTGACCGTGGCCCCCAAGGGGCCGGCCAGGGCTGCCTGAGCCTCAGGCCTGTCCTGACCTCTCTCAGGGTCCCTGGCTCAGCAAAGGAATGGGCCGGCCCCAGGGTCTTCTTCCACCCGGTCGGCCATCTTACAGCCAAGTTGACACTTCCCGGGCAGGCGTTTACGTCCACTTCAACCACATAACGGGACACTTAAAGAACCCGACAGAAAGTGAAATGGCTGAAATGAAGCCACCCCCGACTCACACTTTGTCCTTCTCCTCTAGTGGTGTCCGGACGGATGGTATCCCATGACTTCCATGAAGCTCCAGGCTCTCCAAGCCACCCTCTGCCCCATGGCTGCCTGGAGACCAGAGGCACTCAGGAGGCTGGGGCTGGGGCTGCCCCTGCGTGGTTCAAGTTGGGTGGAGCCAGGAAGTGCAGAGGTCTGTGCAGAAGCACAGGGAACCCACGCTGGCCTGGGGGCTCCAGGAGGCCATGCTGCATTGAGCAGACCTGGCCTCCTTTCCAGTGGAGCAGGACGGGGTAGGGGGGAGGGTGTGAGTCTGTGCATGTGTCTGTGAGAGAGAGTAAAAGAGGGAGTGTGTGTGTTTGCGTGGAGGTAAGTGCTTGTCTATGGGTTTGTGTGTTTGCATTTGTGTGTGAGACAGTGTGCACGTGCGTCTGTGAGTATGAGCATGTGTGGTAGGAGGGTCAGCAAAAGGAGAGGCCGGGGAGGGCTAGACCCGCTGTGCAGATCTTCATGGGGCAGGGAGGTCAGTGTTTGCCCCTGGGGAGATGCTCAGAGCCCAAAAGACAGCTTTAGGCAAACAGAGGATGTGGTGAAGGCAGCAGCTAAAGATAGAGAATCAAGAAAGCCCTTGCTTGCACTTCCTTAGCAGGTAATGGCTGAAAAGCACTTGACATATGTGATGGTTTTGATATTCATGACAGCATCGCTAGTTTGGCTACAATTATCCTCATAAGAGAGGCAAGGTGACTTGCTAAGGTGACAGAACCAGGAGCTGGAAGGCAGCGTCTGCCTCCTATGCTGCCCAAGCTCACTGCCCGAAGCAGGTGCGTGTGTGGCCCTGTCTGTGCTCCATTCCTTTCAGTTGCAGGTCATGGTCACGTTCAGACTCCCTGCCCTGTGGGACTGCTGCCTGCCTCTGCCGCGCTCTTTCCAGGGGAGGAAGCTCAGGTGGAGCTGCTGGGCTGGGAGGTCTGGGATTTGCGGCAGAGTCTTGGGCAGCCTTTTCCCTCCTCCCTGGGTACGAGGTGGCTCAAGGAACCACCTACTGGGCGTGTGAACTGGGGCAGACCCCCGAGTCTCTCTAGGCTCATCTTCCTCCCCGAGGGGAGATAGGAAGCAGTCCCTGTTTTGAAAGCAGACTTTCCTGAAGAAAGTGACGCTCAAACACTCACGCAGTGCTGTTTGGGAAGGGGCGCTTCTCTTCTGCAGAAGGAAACCAAGTCCCCTGTCTCGCAGTTTTCTCTTGCCTGTTTGGCCAATCTTCACGCTCTGTTTCCAGCCTCGCACAGATGCCTTCTAATTATGCACTCTCCCACAACCATGGGCTTACTTCCAACCACTGTTTGACTATTTGTGTAAAGTAAGGGGAAAAGACACCAAAGTTTTGAAACATTTCTACAAACACTACATCCTAGATAAAGACACTTGTCTCACCACAGCCGAGCCATTGGCAGGTGGGCGGCAGCCACACCCTCACTCCCTACCCCTGGCCCTGTGATGGTTACAAGTGCTCATTCACCAGCCGAAGTGCTCACGTTTAAACTCAGCACATGGGAAACGTCTGGGGTAGTTGACACATAATGAGCAAATATATAGGTTTTTTTATATAGGTCAAGGTCACAACCTGCATATCATTCCCATGGTTGTCAGGCAAACCCAACAGGGCGAAGGTGGCAAAAGAACGAATAAGGCACCAAACAAATTCGTTTTGTTTTCCTTTCTTAAGTTTTAGTTTTGATCGATACAAAATAATCGCACATATTTCTAGATAAATATGAGCTAGAGGGCAGCCTGTGGAACTTGAGCAAAACTTTCCCTCCTCGGCACTTTATGCAAAGGTGGTCCCCGGTGCCTGTGGGGTTCCTTTCTTTCTTTTGGGTTTTGGGAGCCGGGGGGGGGTGTCAGTGGTGGTGATCGTGGGCAGGGGACAAAGCAACATGGGTATCGAGCCGCCATGGGAGTGGGGACGTGTAGAGCATGTCTCATTTTTCTGCCCGCGCTGACGGTTTCAGAAACCAAGTAGGTTATTTTACAGCCTGGGGAACTCCTGGTGGAAAAAAACATCTCACCCATGATGTCAGGCCCAGGGTGCAGATGGTCTCATGACGTAAAATTCCATCCGACTCTGGTTTATTCTGAATCGCGGGTGCTGTCATGTGTTACACATTTGCTGTGTGCTACAAGCTGGACCACACAGCCTGCCCGCAGTGCCCTGTTCCTGAGGGGCCTCGCCGCATGGCACACACATGCTGAGATTCAAATCCGTGGCTTGGTGTTTTGTGCTGTGTGTCTTTTGGTAAGCTGTTTAACACTTTGGTCCCTTAGTCTGGGAATATTTGTGTTTCTACCTCTAGAATGTTGTAAGGATGGAATTACCTGTTATATTCTATTGGTACATCTTAGAACAGTGGCCTCTAATAAAAATTTCACTGTTATTCCACTTATGCAACTACCCAATGATCGCAGTTCCCATAGGGCAGGCATTACCACCCCCTCTCGACAGTGAGACGGACTTGGAGACATGAGCAACTTGCAAAGGTCACGCAGCTATGAACTGTGGCGCCAGCCACAAATGCAGTTCACACAGACTCCTATGGCTGGGATCTGGAGACCTTGCCATATCACACTAACTGAAAGCTTTACTTTTCTGACTGTATCTGCTAGGTACAGGTGTATCCAGGTAGAACAAGTGAACCAATTGGTAAAG